CGCCCGCGCCCCCTCCCCTGCCTTGGCGCTCCGCGGTGCCTCCGCGCGCCCGGTGGCTTCGCTCGCCGCGGCTTTCCTTCCAACTCGCGTCTCCGCTGGACGCCTTCCACGCCTCTGCTCCGTTTCCCTCTATGGGCGGGCACACGCGCACAGAGAGCCTTGCCCGCCACAAACTGGACGCTACCCTACAGTCCCGTTTCCCGAGTATATATTGGTTCCTTGCTTAAGGCAGAGATGGGCATCGGTGGGCTTCCAGAGGGCTTTGGACTGGAAGTCTCATAAACCTTCTCCATTGGCTATGCTGGCTAGGATTGCTGGGAGATGTGGAGCTAAAACATCTGGAGGATCAGCATAGTAAACCGGTTCGGTCATCCTAGTCCAGTGGTTCCCAGCTTTCAAGGCCCAGATGTTCTTGGGCCACAACTTCCAGAAGGCTTCACTACTAGCTGTACCTGCCAGGATTTCTGGGAGTTGCAATCTAGTTACATATGGGGACCCAAGGTTGGGAACAACTGCCATAGTCTATTGGTAGGGTTGGCCCAGCTAAGAGATGATGTCTCGGTTGCAAGTACAGTTAATAATACTCAAAGGCAGTGGTCACCAAGAGTCAAAATTAAAGACAGTGGGTCTTCAACCAAAAGGTTGTTGTTGTTTTGTCATTAAGTCATGTCCAACTCTTCTTGACCCCATGGATCAGAGCACGCCAGGCCCTCCTCTCTTCCACTGCCTCTCGGAGGTTGGTCAAATTCATGTTGGTAGCTTCGATGACACCGTCCAGCCATCTCACCCTCTGTCGTCCCCTTCTCCTTTTGCCTTCACACTTTCCCAACATCAGCGTCTTTTGCAGGGAGTCTTCTCATGAGATGGCCAAAGTATTGGAGCCTCAGCTTCAGGATCTGTCCTTCCAGTGAGCACTCAGGGTTGATTTTGTTTAGAATGGATAGATTTGTTCTCCTTGCAGTCCAGGGGACTCTCAAGAGTCTCCTCCAGCACCACAATTCAAAAGCATCAATTCTTCCGCGGTCAGCTTTCTTTATGGTCCAGCTCTCACTTCCATACATTGCTACAGTGGACCCTTGACTTACAGACGGCTTGACTTACAGACTTTTTGAGTTACAGACTTCTCTGGCCGCAAAATTTAGGTTTGACTTGCAGACTGAGATTTGACTTACAGACCAGAAAAAAACCAAAATGGAACAAAAACGGCCTGTTACGGGATTAATCGGTTTTCAATGCACTGTAGGTCAATGGAGACTTGACTTACAGACTTTTTGACTTGAGAACTGCCTTCCAATACGGATTAAGTCCTCAAGTCAAGACCCCACTGTATTGGAAAACCATAGCTTTGACTATGCGGACCTTTGTTGGCAAGGTGATGTCTCTGCTTTTTAAGATGCTGTCTCAGTTTGTCATTGCTTTCCTCCACAAGAAGCAGGCATCTTTTAATTTTGTCACTGCTGTCATTATCAGCAGTGATCATGGAGCCCAAGAAAGTAAAATCTGCCACTGCCTCCATATCTTCCCCTTCTGTTTGCCAGGAGGTGTGGCCATGATCTTAGTTTTTTTGATGTTGAGTTTCAGACCATTTTTTGCACTCTCCTCTTTCACCCTCATTAAGAGGTTATTTAATTCCTCCTCATTTTCTGCCATCAGAGTGGTATCATCTGCATATCTGAGGTTGTTATTTCTTCTGGCGATCTTAATTCATTTGGGATTCATCCAGTCCAGTCTTTCCCATGATGTGTTCTTCGTATAAGTTAAATAAGCAGGCAGACAATCTACAGCCTTGTTGTAATCCTTTCCCAATTTTGAACCAATCAGTTGTTCCATATCCAGTTCTAACTGTTGCTTCCTGTCCCATATACTGTATAGACTCATCAGGAGATAGATAAGGTGGTCGGGCACTCCCATTTCTTTAAGAACTTGCCATAGTTCGCTGTGGTCCACACAGTCAAAAGGCTTTTGCGTAGTCAATGAAGCAGAAGTAGATATTTTTCTGGAACTCTCTGGCTTTCTCCATGATCCAGTGCATGTTAGCAATTTGGTCTCTAGTTCCTCTGCTCCAAAAGGTGCAGGAGAATAAATGCATTATTGGTTGAAAAAAAAAACCTGGGAGATCGTTTTTGGATGCAACAGAATACCATTGCTTAGAGTTGCCGCATCCCAAATTGAGACAGTCATGTTAACACCCAGCTTTCAGTAGGTGATGATGGAGAAGAAGAATCAATGAACATGGCCAGAGTATTGGGAGAAAATGTTGGTAAATGTGTGAAATTGGAGTACTGGGGAAAATTCAGCATTTTCCTTCCCTTTGTTGTATGTGTCATCAAGTTGTTCCAACTTATGGAGACCCTAAGAATCAATGGTCCCCAAAAGGTCCTGTCATTGACAGGTCTGTTTGGCTTTTGCAAATTAAAGGCTGTGGTTCCTTTACTGAATCAGTCAATCAGTCTCATGTCCTGTAGGGGATGGATGAAGTGGATAGAGTGAAGCTCTTTTCCCTCTTACACAATACCAGAACCAAGGGACATCCACTTAAACTGAGCGTTGGGAGAGTAAGAACAGACAAAAGAAAATATTTCTTTATCCAGCATTTTGTTAGTCTGTGGAACTCCTTACCACAGGATGTGGTGATGTCATCTGGCCTAGATGCCTTTAAAAGGGGATTGGACAGATTTCTGGAGGAGAAGTTCCATCGCAGTTTACAAGCCATGATGGGGATATATAATCTCCAGTCTTAGAAGGAAGGTTTCTCAAAATGCCAGATGCAAGGGAGGGGTATCAGGAGACAGGGATCTAGTTGTTTCATGTGCTCCCAGAGGCACCTGGAGGGGCCACCGTGAGATACAGGAAGTTGGACAAGATGGGCCTTTGGCCTGATCCAGTAGGGCTCATTCTTATGTTCCTCTTTTCCTAGGGCCTTCTATTTTCCTAGTATTTTTCCATTTTCTCTGATACTTATTTTCTCATGATATGTCTACAGTTTCATAGCCTCTATCTAGTTATTTTACTTTCTTGTGAGAGTTCAGGCTTGATTTGATCTAGAGCCCACTTATTGTTTTTCTGGCAGTCCATAGAATCTATAAAGCCATCTTTCAACATCACACTTTAAATTAATCATTTTTTTTTCTTGTCAGCGTTCTTCACTGTTCAGCTTTTGTATCTGTACATAATGACTGGAAATACCATAATATTGATGCTTTTGGCCTTGGAAACAATCCTTGCACTTGAGGATCTTTTTCAGTTTCTAGATATCACTATGCTTTGTTGGCTAAATTAACATTTATTAAGCAACTTAACCGTATTTGTTAACCTAAAATTTGGAATATGGAGGTATTTAAAATGGCAGCTTTGCATGTGTTGTATGTACTAATCGAATTCAGTACATACTGCGATGTGTTATTCTTGTGCCAAGTCAGGGAGGAACGTTTCTCACCCCTCTGTCTGAACTCTCCATGGGTAAATTTATTCCCAGGATGGAGAACAACATATTCTAATTGCCTGTTATGTATTTGCTAAAGATGAGAAGCCTGACAGAAAATCGATGACAAGGGGATTGGATACACAAAGATTCACCTTGCATGTTCAGTCCCTTTCGGGTATTATTCACTAAAATCATTGATGTTCGGTGAGCAAATCAAATGGTTTTCTTTTGGGACTCATTTCTGCAATCAACTTCCTTCTACCAAATTCCATGAAGAAATATTTGAGTTCTGGCATGTTTTCCTTTAAAAACCACTTGAGACATTTTCACACATCCACAAATTGCATTTTGCCAAGTACTGTACATATCTAAATGTACAACTGACCATAATTATCACCCCTTTTCCCAAGTGGTTGTCGGGGATTGTGGTAATATTTGAAATGTGCTTAACTGTTTGTTAGATATTAGTCAGGTGTATTAATTAGAGCACAAGAAGGTTTCTACTTGTGATTTCAAATACAGTATGCATGCTATTTCAGGCTTGAGCTACTAAACTTCACTTTGGTTCTTTATTTTGAAATTAATAATAAAATAAATTCATATCCAAGTTGGAGATACAAAATCAAATATAATCTTGAACTGGTCCTTCAAAAATGAGGAAGAAATTCTACCTCTATTACATATTGCATTTTTATATTTCCATCTTAACCTTACACTGCCCGGATCAGTTCTCAAGATGTCCTTCCTATTCTTTTCAGCCTTACAAGTGCTAGACTTGTACGGAAAGAAATCTTTAAAAATAATTTGCCATTTTAAAATTCTAGATTGTAATGCCTCCTTGAGATGTGCATTTTTAGAAAAGGAATGTAAATGCTACAAAGTACATAAGAATCTTATTGACCTTTGGTATGAATAGGACTTTGTGGCTGCCATTTACGGCTTTGTAAATCTAAAGGATAGATTGTTGTGATGTGTTTCAATTTGGGGATGTCCTTGATGACTGGATGCTTCAGTTAAGGCAGAATGTGTTGATCCACCTTATGATGGGGGTGAATCTCTAAGAGCAAATTATAGCAATCCTTCCCTATCAGCCCTGCCTTCCAGGTGGTTTCTTGGCACAAGGCGATAGTTTTGATTTGCAAAGTCCTTGAATAAATAAAGAGACGCCATTTGGAACTTTGCACAAAACAGCGAAGCCTTACTGAATGACACAGAGATTGCATTTCTCACAGATACGGATTGCCAGAATGCAATATTACTCCAGCCATGTTCCTCTGTTCTGCAGCCACAAGAACTATGTTGACAGAATGCAGTGTAAACTGAGTATGTCATTTCTAAAACATCCAGGATTTCCTTCCATGCTAGGGGAATCCTAAATTAGTTGCTGGTATTACAAATGCAAAAGCAGCCTTAGAAGGGGCACCGACTT